CCAATCATGGATAGCTCAAGGGACCTCCTACAGCCACTGGAGGAACTCAAGGGTTCCATTGAACCCCTGGTTGAAAATAGCTGCTCTAAAGTTTTCCTCTTTGTGTTCTCGCTGGCAGCTTCATAAAAGGTTTTGTAGGGAGGTGAAGGAGAGGACAGAAGAGCTGGACCAGCACAGACAGTAATTAGACAGTCCCAAAAGCAGAGAGGCCTATGATTGTCACCGCCCCCTCCTGTAATATTCTGTAGTGGGTGGAGCCTGCTGGGTCCTCCCCACAGGCTACAGTTGTGTCCAAAATTATTCAACCCCCACTGAAATTGAGTGTTTTGGCCAGTTTGACATTTGCTTTTGATCATTCAGTCATCTTGCTTACATTTACATTAAAGAGGCGTCTTGTAGGTCAGACAAATATAACATAACAGTTATAATGAAATAACCACAAATGTCTTTTCTCTGTGCTCACAGCATTATCAGTTTTATTCAACCCCCAAGTGGACATTCAATCTTAGTACTTAGTACAGCATCCTTTTACAGTTATAACAGCTTTTAAAACGTGAAGCAAGCTTGACACAAGTGTCTTGCAGCGATCTACGGGTATCTTCGCCCATTCTTCATGGCAAAGGCCTCCAGTTCAGTCACATTCTTAGGCTTGCGCACTGCAACTGCTTTCTTTAAGTCCCACCAGAGGTTCTCAATCGGATTTAAGTCTGGTGACTGCGATGGCCACTCCAAAATGTTCCAGCCTTTCCTCTGCAACCATGCTCTAGTGGACTTGGAGGTATGCTTGGGATCATTGTCCTGTTGAAAGGTCCAACGTCTCCCAAGCCTCAGGTGTGTGACGGACTGCATCACGTTTCCATCCAATATCTCCTGGTACTGAAGAGAATTCATGGTACCTTGCACACGCTGAAGCTTCCCTGTACCTGCAGAAGCAAAACAGCCCCAAAGCATGATTGACCCTCCACCATGCTTCACAGTAGGCAAGGTGTTCTTTCATCATAGGCCTTGTTCTTCCTCCTCCAAACATAGCGTTGATCCATGGGCCCAAACAGTTCTAATTTTGTTTCAATCAGTCCACAGAACACTATCCCACAACTTTTGTGGTTTGTCCACATGGCTTTTGGCATACTGCAGTCGACTCTTCTTATTCTTTGGAGACAGCAAGGGGTACGCCTGGGAGTTCTGGCACGGAGGCCTTCATTACGCAGTGTGCGTCTTATTGTCTGGGCTGAAACTTCTGTACCACACATCTGACAAATCTTTTCTCAGTTCCTCAGCAGTCACACGGGGGGACTTCTCTCCACTCTACGCTTCAGGTAGCGCACAGCAGTCGAAGTCAGCATCTTCTTTTCTGCCACGACCAGGTAGCGTTTCAACAGTGCCCTTTGCCTTGAATTTGCGAATGATGCTTCCTAAGGTGTCTCTTGGTATGTTTAAACATCTTTGCAATCTTCTTATAGCCATTGCCCTTCCTGTGAAGAGAAATCACCTCTTCTCTTGTCTTCCTGGACCATTCTCTTGCCTTCACCATGTTTGTAACCACACCAGTAAATGTCTAGAAGGAGCTGAGTAATATCACAGTCATTTTAAAAGCTGCCTAATTGGTGCTTATTATGCTTGATTGCTGCTCGGTGACATCCACAGGTGTTTTCAATACCTGATGGAAAGCACCTGTATGAACCTCTGTTCTTCAGAGTGGTAGTCTTTAAGGGGTTGAATAATTGTGGCAATGAAAGAAACCACATAAGAACCATTTACTACTGTATTACATAAACAATTGATGTCATTTTAGTTGCATTTGGGTAGTTACAACGTCCTTGTAGGATTTGATTCTGAATACAATTCCAAATGTACACTATAGTCCCTAAACCCTTTACAGCATTGGGGGTTGAATAATTTTGGACACAACTGTATATACAGCACAGTGAGGATGATGTCTGTTAAGTAGAGTTTAATGATCGCTATACTTTAAATTCCATATTTTACCTGTAATATTGTTTGGTTAGGGGGCTCATTCACACGCGTGCACATGTACCCCGTGCAGGCAAACCCCGCCCTCTCATGGGGTGTACATGATGGCGCCCCCATGTAAACGAGGCCTGAATGTTCCATTTAGCATTAAACCCTTCCAAATCCCCAGTGCAGTGACTGGTCTCAGGTGATACACAGAGATCAAACAAATCTTCCTACATAAGTTGTACCTGTTTATCAACCGCCGTTCAAAGTGTATAATTTATAAAGCTTGTCTGAGCTGTCAGAAAGCAGGGGGTGGGGAGATGAAATGACACACTGCAGAGCTCAGTGAGGGGAGCTCTGAGAGCTGATTTGGAGGGAAGGGACATGCCGCCTTCCATACAGCTCACAGGAACAGAGTTGGGGATGCCAATCACAGGCTGTGTGCTGGAGCTCCTACCCCTGTCACCCTTTTTTTTTTTTTTTTTTTTTTTCTTTTTGGTGTCAGGAAAACAGTCAGAAGTGACTCATGCTGATAGCAGAGGAGTAAGGGAACAGACAGAGATGACACTTAGTGCTCTGGACTGAGACAAGTACACACTATAGAGGGATGTGCTTTGTTCATATGTCATGTCTGAGGTTGTACAGGAAAAGGAAAGCCATACTTCTAGTACAGGTTTGGCTGGGAACATCGCAGCCAAAAGATAGAAGCAGTGCCGGGACAAGGTCATCCAGAGCCCAGGGCAACGAAGCCAAACTGCACCCCCCCCCCCCCCCTTCATTATGTGTGAGCTTAGGGGATGCTACCCCCAGCAGTCATCCGCTTGTCAAAATGAGCTCATTGGCACTCCATACAGTAAAAAGCTGCGCCCAGGGCAGCGGCCCCTCCTGCCCACCCCTTGTCCCGGCCCTGGATAGACGTGGCACTAGGGGGGCAGCTGGTAATGAGTGACAGCTCCAGGATCATGCTGTCTGTTCATTCTGTGTTTGTACCTTGAAACCGTACACTTCGGTGGTAACAGGAGAAGCCACGTAAACCATTTCTTAGGCAGCGCATGCCCCGTTCTTTACTTCTGCAATGACCTCTTAGGATTTTCGTATTTTTACTGCGGGTAATACTACTTTCAATTTGTATTCTGTTTCTTTGCATTGTTTTGTGTTTTTGTCTTCAAAAAAAAAAAAAAGAGCGTATATTTAAAAAAAAAAAAACAAAAAAAAAAAACTTCTGTTTGTGCCAGTTTTATAATCCCTGAACACTCCTTCCATTATATTGGTTGAACTCCCGGGATTATGTAGCAAACCACCCTGTAATCCAATGATGTGTTTATTAAAACGCCATCCACGGAATTTTAATAGAACTAGTAGAGGCACGTATTTCTGTCTTCCTATTGGTCCCCGGTGACCCCTCCCTCTGCAGATAAGCATTTCATTTCCTCATCGCCTGTTTTTAACCCAATTTTAACCACATTTTTGCAGAAAAATGCATTGCACGCGATTTTAGGGGCGTGTTTAGTACTTCCTCATTCACTTGAATGGGTCGCATTCAGTGGGTCCACTAATCGTGACATGTTGGAAAGTTTTTGCCGTGGGCGCGATCACAGCATGTAACATCCCTGTCCGCTGCCATTGCTGCTTAACCCCCTTGAGCAGCAATGGCAGCGGACAGGGATGTTACATGCTGTGATCGCGCCCACGGCAAAAACTTTCCAACATGTCACGATTAGGGGTGAAGGGTGCTAAAAACGCGGCTTAAGTGAGCATTGTTACTGCCTCCACAACTGTGCGTCTAAGGCTACCTTCACACTAATCACGCATCCCACATGGAAGAAAAATATATTTTAAAAATATTCTTCCCAAATATATTGACATATATTTGAAACACTACAATTTTGGCCAAATTCAATATATTTAAAAAAATAAATAAATAAATTATATATACAGTATGTTGAAATGCATTTTTTATTACAAAAATATCTGAAAAATATTTTAAAGATGCATTTCAAAAATGTAGATTAAATGTATTTACAAATATATGTAAAAATATACATTAAAAATGATTTTTTTTTTATATGTTAAAAAAATCTGAAGAGTATATTTAAAAAATGTATATTTGAAAAAATATTTTTCATAAATTCTGTAATAAATAAAAATACACACACACACACACACCCACACACCATTGCTCCCCCCGCACAGGGAGAGGGGATGTGAACCAATGGGGGATCTGTTGCTTTACACAGCCAGTAAACATGCTTTCAGGTAGAGAAAATCCATGATCTCATTGGTTTGCTGCTGTCTAATCAAGGGCTTGGGGGCGGATCCTGGACCCGCTGGAATGGTTTACGTAGTGAAGGTTGCAAAGAAGTCCAGGACCTAATTTGTCATTAAGAATTGTTGCATTTTAACGTTGTCTATACTATTTTTTGCCAGCTGGTGGGGCTGTAGGCTAATTTCTGGTGTTTACCATGTTGTTTTTAACTGCTCTGCTGTGCTTTACACCACTAGTGAAAGTGCTTACATTGGAATAGAGAAAAGTAATTTTATGGGTTTACTGATGTCTAAACACGGGCTGGGGGTGGATCTTGAACCCAGCTGTTTTGGTTTACTGCAGCATAGGTTGCAGGGAAGTTCAGGACCTTTTGGTTTACTGCAGCATAGGTTGCAGGGAAGTTCAGGACCTGGTAGGGGTGCTGGGAACACAAGACTGTCTGAACAGTATTGAAAACCATTCAGCAGGTAAAGCCAGTTCACCTGTGTACAGGGGCGGACTGACAACTCATGGGGCCCCCGGGCAATAGGGGATCATGGGGCACCTGTCTCCTTGCCCAAACTCAAAAAAGCTTATGAAAAAGGTACCAGGGGCATCTCATGGGGCCCCCTACTGACCCCGGGCCCTCGGGCAGTGCCCGAGTTTCCAAATGGTCAGTCCGCCCCTGCCTGTGTATTAACCTGGTTGCTCCGGGTTCAGCTTTTAAACATTTAGCACTTAGTCGTTGGACACAGCCGTCTCTTTAACATGCTTCCCTTTCTATTACAGACCAGCCGCCATGCCTGTGAATTGCAGCAGCTGTGAAACCCAACGCGCCGCCCTGCGTAGACCGAAGACCGGCCACTCCGTCTGCAAGGAATGTTTCTTCCAAGCCTTCGAGGAAGAGATCCACCACACCATTGTGTCTGCCAAGCTCTTCCAGCCAGGGGAGAAAGTCGGCATCGGTGCGTCCGGCGGAAAGGACTCGACGGTGCTTGCCCACGTCTTGAAGGTTCTGAATGAGCGTTATAACTACGGTCTGGAGCTCATCCTGGTGTCCGTGGACGAAGGCATCTCGGGGTACAGAGACGACTCGCTGGAGACGGTGAAAAGGAACCAGCAGCAATATGAGCTTCCTCTGAAGATCGTGTCCTACCAGGAGCTGTACGGGTGGACCATGGACCAGATTGTCAAGCAAGTGGGGCTGAAGAACAACTGTACGTTTTGCGGTGTGTTCAGGAGACAGGCGTTGGACCGGGGGGCCATGATGCTGGCCGTTGATAAGATCTGCACGGGTAATCCTTTGGTTCTGACATTGATGTGCTACTTTGTTGAAAGGGTTATTGAACCCATAAAATACAAATTTTCTTTTTTGGTAGTGTCCCTTACTAGCTTTCAGGAATGTTGACCTCTCTTCTTCTCAGGGCCATCAATTCCGAACTCAAATCTCATGCAAACTACACTTCTCTCTACAGCCGCCATTCTCAACCAAGGTTTTGTGGAAAACTAGGATTCCTCCAGAGGTTTCTAGGTTTTTCTTTGAACTTTGGTTATTGACCTCTCATTTGATGGTGCCTTCATAGTTCTAGGTCCATCACCACTTAGCCGAGCCAGTAGCATGACACCAATGATCTGTAAGGGTGGTCTCCTAACCACCACTGTGAGGGGAACATGTTTCCCACTGACCAGTAATATGAGTTTGTTTTTCCCTAATTGCCCCCAATGTATTCTTAGTAGGGGTTCTCTGAGACTGGAGGAAAGGGGACAAGCGACAGCTAAGTGTAGCAGGTAAAGCAACTTTAATACTTGTAAAATTAATGCAGTCACAGAAGTGATGTAAAAACAGGCATATAGGGCTTTATGTAGCAACCTTCATAAGTTCCGCTCCGCCAGGACTTTGCCCGATTTGCCTTTTATTAAGACTTTTTCATAAAGTGGACTTGAACTCTTCCTCCCCCCATATATCTCCCTTTTTTAGTTGCCTGAGACCTAAAATTTTTTTTTTTTTTTTTTTTACGAATCCTTCCTCTGGTGTAAAAACAGTCAGGCTGATTAATAGGGTATCCAATTACATGAAATAAATCAAGTAAAACAGTCCAAAAGACTTGTGATGCCACACTGTGCAAAATAATAATAAGTGTTCAATACACAGTGATTATAACTTCACTCCATGCTGCAAATGTGCTCTTCGTGATACTCTGATGTGACTCCCCTGGATTTAGCCAAAATGCCCCCTCACCTTCAACATTCGACCCTTGCGGGTCACAAAGCCTTAAATATATAGTATCTCAGCCAGGTTTTCATGCTCCACTGACTCCACCGACTCAATTAAGATCCTCCTCCAAGCAATGAATTCCTCTCAGATCACTTTCCTCACAATATGGACTCATAAACACAGGACGTATATGCAAAAACAAAGACAGACCTCCATAGTGCAACACTGTTTTTAATGCACTTTAAGATTTTAAAACCGAATGAACACTCACATATCCTCCAAGAGAAAGAAGCAGTTTCCCATGTGCTATGGGTGTACTAAGGTGTACAAAGATGGCGTCCGAACCCGGAACCGGAAGTACGTCACCCCTTAACCGGAAAATTGACGCATTTCCGGTTAAGGGGTGACGTGGTTCCGGGTTCGGACGCCATCTTTGTACACCTTAGTACACCCATAGCACATGGGAAACTGCTTCTTTCTCTTGGAGGATATGTGAGTGTTCATTCGGTTTTAAAATCTTAAAGTGCATTAAAAACAGTGTTGCACTATGGAGGTCTGTCTTTGTTTTTGCATATACGTCCTGTGTTTGAGTCCATATTGTGAGGAAAGTGATCTGAGATGAATTCATTGCTTGGAGGAGGATCTTAAATTGAGTCGGTGGAGTCAGTGGAGCATGAAAACCTGGCTGAGATACTATATATTTAAGGCTTTGTGACCCGCAAGGGTCGAATGTTGAAGGTGAGGGGGCATTTTGGCTAAATCCAGGGGAGTCACATCAGAGTATCACGAAGAGCACATTTGCAGCATGGAGTGAAGTTATAATCACTGTGTATTGAACACTTATTATTATTTTGCACAGTGTGGCATCACAAGTCTTTTGGACTGTTTTACTTGATTTTATGTCATGTAATTGGATACACTTATCACTTTGCACAGATAAAGTGTTATCATTTGTATTATAATTTTCACGTTTTTACCACTAGGGGGCTTATAATTTATGTGTGTGAATTTGCACTAGTCATTTGTATAGTTTTATAGAATTTAAGAGGGAATTAAACCATTTCCATACCGGGCAATTTTACACCTTCCTGCCCAGGCCATTTTTCAGGTTTCAGCGCTCTCACACTTTGAATGACAATTGCGCGGTCATACAACATTGTACCCAAACTAAAATTTTTATCATTTTCTTCACACAACTAGAGATTTCTTTTGGTGGTATTTAATCACCGCTGGGGTTTTTATTTTTTGCTAAATTAACAAAAAAAGACCAAAAATTTTGAAAAAAAAACACATTTTTCTTTGTTTCTGTTGTAAAAGTTTACAAATAAATAATTGTTCTTCGTAAATTTAGGCCGAGATGTATTCTGCTACATGTCTTCGGTGAAAATAACCCAAATTAGGATGTATTTTTTAGTTTGTAGGAAAGTTATAGAGTTCACAAACTATGGTATAGATCTGAATATTGATCAATCCTGAAGTACTGACGGCCAATCTAATATCTTGAGGTCCAAGAATGTCAGAACAGTACAGATATCCCCCAAATGTCAGGACAGTACAGAGATATCCCCCAAATGTCAGGACAGTACAGATATCCCCCAAATGTCAGGACAGTACAGATATCCCCCAAATGTCAGGACAGTACAGATATCCCCCAAATGTCAGGACAGTACAGATATCCCCCAAATGTCAGGACGGTACAGATATCCCCCAAATGTCAGGACAGGACAGATATCCCCCAAATGTCAGAACAGTACAGATATCCCCCAAATGTCAGGACAGTACAGATATCCCCCAAATGACCCCTTTTTGCAGAGTAGACAGTCCGACGTACTTCATAAGAGGAATGGCGAGTTTTTGAAGTTGTATTTTTTTGTCATAATTTTTCGGAAAATGAAAAAATTAAAAAAATTATTTTCACTATTTTTTTTTTTTTACATACTGTCACCAGTGCAGTACAGCGTCATCATATAACTGGCATGGCGGTGAACAGCGACACTGACTGGTGACAGTATGAAAAAAAAAAAAATATATATATTTTTTTTATTTATTTATTTTTTATTATATTTAATTTTTTATTACATTTTTTTTAAGACTTTTTTTTTCATATTTTACTATGATCAAAATAGTACAATGTTACCATAGTAACACTGTACTACTTTGGGGAAGTGATCAGTATTTTTTTTTTTTTTTTTTACACAATTTGCTTATAGCAAAGAATTACTTTGCTATAAGCAAGCATTTACCTGAATGAAATCGATTCATTCAGCTTTTTTTTTTTTTTTTTTTTTTTTGTGCTTAGCTATGATTTGGTCACAGCTAATCACATGACATGTGCATGTGATTAGCTGTGACCATTCACAGCTAGGCACTAGTATACAATGGATTGCATCATGAATGAAGCCATCCATTGTATACAACTGTCATGTGACCTGCTGTGATTGGTCACAGCAGGTCACATGGTACCGGCAACGGGAGCCGGTACTCGGATCTGTCATCGGCCGTGTCCGAGGTGCACGGGCGGTGACAGATCGCACTGCTGCGTCGCTCTGCAACTGCGCAAACCGCGCATGTGCGGGAGCACGCCAAATGGCGTGCACCCGGAATACAGGAGCACATTTCAAGCCGCCAAACGGCCATTTGGCCGGGCGGCTAATGGTTAAGCACTTATTTTGGAATTTTTCACATAATTATTGATGTAAGAAGGGTCTGTATACACTATATAAGTTGAGCGCTTCATCACAATATATATATTTTGTTTGCATATATCTTCAGGTATAAGGAAAAGGTGATAGCAGCTGACTTTAGGTTAAAGGTTCTGTGGAGCGCAGGGGGATTCTTTCTATATTGATTAATAGGGTGGCTACGCTTTGTCTCCAGGCAGCTTAGCCGCCCTATAGAGCCACCTTTCTGAACTTTTTCTGAACCTGACTGGAGCCCCAGTGTAGCCACTTTTAGGTGCGTGCTTGTATGTCACTGCCTGTTTCTGGGTACGTGGTGCGCGTCCCTGCTCGCTGACTCCCACTGTTAGTCAGCAGGTCCCGGCCAGTGACTAATGGCCAGGACCTGCTGATCGGCTGTGTCCAATCACAGCCCAGGGTCTTGTGTTGACAAACACAGGGCTCTGTACAGAGGGAACAATCTCTCTGTTTCTTCTCCCTGCAAAGCAGTTATTAGTACAGTGACCGTGTACAGTATTATCACTGATCACTGTATTAGTGTCACTGATGTCAGTTCCCATCCAGTGTCAGATTGCCGGCCGCACTATCACAGTCCCACTATAAGTCACTGACAGGGGCGGACTGACCATTTGGAAATTGGGCACTGCCCGAGGGCCTGGGGTCAGTAGGGGGCCCCATGAGATGCCCCTGGTACCTTTTTCATAGGATTTTTTGAGTTTGGGCAAGGACACAGGGGCCCCATGATCCCCTATTGCCCGGAGGCCCCATGAGTTGTCAGTCCGCCCCTGGTCACTGATCACCACCATTAGTAGTAAAAAAAAAAAAAATTCCAGTATATATACCATTGTTTGTAGATGTTACAACTTTCACTCAACCCAATCAATAATTACTTATTGGGATTGGGATTTTTTTTTGCCAACGACATGTAGCAGAATAAATTTTGGCCTACCTTTTTATAAAGAAATTAGATTTAAAAATTTTTCTTATTGGATATGTTTTAGAGCAGAAAGTAAAGAATAAATATTTTTTAATTTATTCTTTAATTTCTGTTCTAAAACATATCCAATAACATTTTTAAATATATATATTTAACCTGGAATGGTATTACCTGTTGATGTTCCCTTTTGCCTGTGTCACTCATAGAGGTCTCCTGTGCTTCCAACCACAGGTCATAACGCAGATGACATCGCCGAAACGGTGCTCATGAACTTCCTCCGGGGAGACATTGCCAGGTTGCGACGGTGCACCGCCATCACAACGGGCAGCGAGGGCGCCATCCCGCGATGCAAACCCCTGAAGTACGCCTACGAGAAGGAGATTGTGCTTTACGCCTACTTCAAAAAGCTTGACTACTTCTCCACCGAATGCATCTATTCCCCCAACGCCTACCGCGGCCATGCCCGGGCTTTCCTGAAGGACTTGGAGGCCCTGAGGCCCAGCGCCATCATGGACATCATCCACTCGGGGGAAAATTTATCAGTGAAAGAGGACATCAGGATGCCCGTCCAGGGGACCTGCACCCGCTGTGGCTACATATCCAGCCAGGGACTTTGTAAGGCCTGTGTGCTGCTGGAAGGCTTGAATCGAGGTCTACCCAAGTTGGGCATCGGCAAACACACCACAAACTTCACCATAAGCTCCTGGCGCAGGAACCGTTGAGTGAGGCGGAGACCAGAAAGCTGAAATCTACAGACTTCTAATAGAGGAGTGGAGAGGCCTTGTAGTAGGACTCATATGAATTTTATTTTAGTTTTGGATAGTGGAAAGGTTAGATTTTTATTGTTGTTCTCCTTTTCAGTAGATTATCCCCTTTTCGGTAGATTTTCCCCTTTCGGTAGATTTTCCCCTTTCGGTAGATTATCCCCTTTCGGGTAGATTATCCCCTTTCGGGTAGATTATCCCCTTTCGGGTAGATTATCCCCTTTCGGGTAGATTATCCCCTTTCGGGTAGATTATCCCCTTTCGGGTAGATTATCCCTTTCCCTATCTTCTAACTAGCCACCATCAAGTGAGGAGAATCAATAAATAAAGATCTGACAGAGGTTCTAACCTGCCCCATAAAATGCTTTCTTTTTTTCCAGTTGGCAAGGTTTCTTTTTCCGAAAGTGAAAGGAAACCCTCCTGTCCTGTTATTTTTCCGATTTGGAGAGGTTTCGCTTCCTATCCCGGTGACACCATTTCATGCTCTGGCACACAAGGTGTCGTAAGACGTTGGAGGACTTCTCCCCAGCAATAAAATCCAAATGGTTTTAACAATGGCTAGAGTTCGTTCATCTGCAATGTTCATTAACACAACATGACAGGTTCACTTTAAAGTGGAACACTGGGCAAAAACCACACATATGACTGAGTCTGGCAAAAAGCATTCGCAAAGCAATTTTCAGAGCCACCTGTAACAGTTTTATTACCCATTGATCTTGCCAATAGACCCACTGTTGTTCCACTTCCAGACCAAGCTGTCCAGGAAAAAGTTTGGACAAACTATATAACAATGGTCGGCTTTTATTCGTTTAAGCCAGCGGTGGTCAACTTATTTGATATGGAGGGGCTCAAGGGCGCTCCCTGACATCACTAAAGGGCCACATATAAAGTAAATGTGATACTACCGGAAGCTTTACTGACATGTGTCACTTGCATTCAAAGGGGACAGTGGGGCAGAGTTACTAAAACTGGAGCACTCAGAATCTGGTGCAGCTAAACATGGTAGCCAATCGGCTTCTAACTTCAGCTTGTTCAGTTAAGCTGTGATACTAAAACCTAGAGGCTCATTGGCTCCCATGTACAGCTGCACCAGACTTTGCACTCTCCAGTTTTAGTAAATCTCCCCCAGTGTCTCCCTAAAGTACATTTTTTTTTAAAGCAACTTCATCCACTGGACTTAGTGGTTCCTCATGATGACCTCCACTCTTTGATATGGACATTCAAGAAGGAGTAGATATGAGGTGGTGGACTCTGATCTTATACCCGTCTCTCAGGAGGTGTTGGTTTGGCTTGTTGGCAATGGCTTGTTGGCAAAGGAGGTGTTGGCAATGGCTTGTTGGCAAAGGAGGTGTTGGCAATGGCTTCCCAATGGCTTGTTGGCAAAGGAGGTGTTTGCCAACAAGCCATTGGAAAGCCATTGCCAACACCTCCTTTGCCAACAAGCCATTGGGAAGCCATTGCCAACACCTCCTCCTTTGCCAACAAGCCATTGCCAACACCTCCTTTGCCAACAAGCCATTGGGAAGCCATTGCCAACCCCTCCTTTGCCAACAAGCCATTGGAAAGCCATTGCCAAGGAGGGGTTGGCAATGGCTTCCCAATGGCTTGTTGGCAATGGCTTGTTGGCAAAGGAGGTGTTGGCAATGGCTTCCCAATGGCTTGTTGGCAAAGGAGGTGTTGGCAATGGCTTCCCAATGGCTTGTTGACAATGGCTTCGCAATGGCTTGTTGACAAAGGAGGTGTTGGCAATGGCTTGCTGGCAATGGCTTCCCAATGGTTTGTTGGCAAAGGAGGATGGGTGTTGGTCAATGGCAATGGCTTCCCAATGGCTTGTTGGCAATGGCTTCCCAATGGTTTGTTGGCAAAGGAGGTGTTGGCAATGGCTTCCCAATGGCTTCCCAATGGTTTGTTGGCAAAGGAGGTGTTGGCAATGGCTTCCCAATGGCTTGTTAGTAAAGGAGGTGTTGGCAATGGCTTCCCAAATTGAGTAAACTAAATGTAATGTACAAGAAGAGTGTCAAGGGGTCGTCTTAAGTAGTTCATAATCATTTGCTGCTGGTAACAATATCAAAATAGGAAGATAAAGGGCATGCAACGCGTTTCAAGCTAGAAGCTTCATCTGTTCTCTGCTTAAAAATAACAAGGCTTGTAATGCGGAATCGTCTGCCTTCCGAAATGCATTTGATGCCTTTTATCTTCTTGTTTTCATGTGATTACCAGTAAAAAATGATTATGGACTCTTAAGACAGGGCTCCACAAATTCAAGGTACCAGGTTGCCTCTCATAGACTTCAATGGGAAGTCGCACCTCCCATAGACATCAGCGGGAAGTCATGCCTCCACTCATAGACTCAGGAAGCTGCCGCCCCCCCCCCCATAAACTTCAATGGGAAGTCGCGCCTTCCATAGACTTCAATGGGAAGTTGCCCCCCCATAAACTTCAATGGGAAGTCTTGCCCCCCCCCCCCTTAGACTTCAATGGGAAGTTGTGCAATGGGTGCAGCGTTGCATGACCGCGCAATTGTCAGTTAAAGTAGTGCAGCGCCGTAATGCAAAAAATGGCCTGGTCAGGAAGGGGGGAGAAATCCTCTGGAGGGCGAGGGGTTAAATCCTGCCTCTAGAAAAGGACGGGGGGGAGGATTTGGGGGGTTGCACACTATTCTCCCCGCCAGTCTTTTTTTTTTTTTTTTTTTTTTTTTTTTTAAATAATTGTATTATTTTACAGGGCAGTTGTGAATCGCTCTTTAGAGAGCTGCCGCATTTCCATGAAGATATTCCATTCCTGTCATTACAATAACGGGGCATCTGTAGCCGATAAACTGGAACTGAAATGGTTAGGCGGTGATGGGGGAGGAGTGCGGCCTGGCGTGGCTTCAGCTTTCTCCGCGCTTCAAAAAAAGCGTATTACTGACATTCGCTATGCTCTGTGCTTGGCCAATAACAATGGCCGGGGCAGCCAGAGGGCTGCGATGTCCTCCTCCACCCAGGATCTTGGCCGCATGATTTATAAATGTGACTCATTTTACTGCACGCTGCAAATCGCCAACGTCCAGGCTTACAGACAATCTCAAGCAGGACCACCCCCAGAAAAAAAAAAAAAGATTAAAAAAAAAAAAGAGTGTGTGTGTGTATATATATATATATATATATATATATATATACACACACAAAATTAATTTCAGGTACTTATATAGCGCTGTCAATTTACGCAGCGCTTTACATCTATATTGTACATTCCCATCAGTCACCGCCCCCGAGGAGCGTACAATCTAAGGTCCCTAACTCACATTCATACATACACATACTAGGGACAATTTAGACAGGAGCCAATTCACCTACCAGCATGTCTTTGGAGTGTGGGAGGAAACCGGAGTACCCGGAGGAAACCCACACAGGCACAGGGAGAACATGCAAACTCCAGGCAGGTGGTGCTGTGGTTGGGATTTGAACCAACGACCCCGAGTACTGCCAGGCGGAAGTGCTAACCATTTATTTATATATATATATATATATATATATATATATATAATATACACATACATACACGCACGCACAGCACACAGTTAATCCTTTGATTGCCCCTCATGTTAACCCCTTCCTGCCCAGTGCCATTAGTACAGTGTTGGTGCTTTTTATTATCACTGATCACTGTATTGGTGTCACTGGGGATGTCAGCTTCTCACAATGTGCATTGGAAGTTGCAGCAAGTCACGTAGAGCTCCACCTCAATTCCTGCTTGGAGCCGTTTCCTCATGAACTGTTGCTGAGATTGTGATCCTCCATGACCATATATGGTCTTGCTGTTAAAAATGACCTTTGACCATCCCTTCAGTCTTGCACAGGTGTACCGACTCCTCCCCTTCAGTCTTGCACAGGTGTACCCACACCTCCCCTTCAGTCTTGCACAGGTGTACCGACTCCTCCCCTTCAGTCTTGCACAGGTGTACCCACACCTCCCCTTCAGTCTTGCACAGGTGTACCGACTCCTCCCCTTCAGTCTTGCACAGGTGTACCGACTCCTCCCCTTCAGTCTTGCACAGGTGTACCGACTCCTCCCCTTCAGTCTTGCACAGGTGTACCGACTCCTCCCCTTCAGTCTTGTACAGGTGAACCGGCTCCTCCCCTTCAGTCTTGTACAGGTGAACCGGCTCCTCCCCTTCAGTCTTGTACAGGTGAACCGGCTCCTCCCCTTCAGTCTTGTGCAGGTGTACCGACTCCTCCCCTTCAGTCTTGCGCAGGTGTGTACCGACTCCTCCCCTTCAGTCTTGCGCAGGGGTATCGACTCCTCCCCTTCAGTCTTGCACAGGTGTACTGGCTCCTCCCCTTCAGTCTTTCACAGGTGTATCGGCTCCTCCCCTTCAGTTTTGCACAGGTTGTACCGGTTCCTCTCCTGGACTGAAATGTCTTCCTCTGATCTCACCGCACACTGGGAGCGTCTCACAATGTGCAATAGAAGCTGCAGGCAGTCAGATAGAGCTCCACCTCAATTCCTGGCCAGAGCCAGCATCAACTAGCTCTGTTCTCCACAGCCTGTCCCTGGCCCCACCCTTTTCATTTATTCATGGAGGCTTAGCATTACCTAGGGTGGTCTACATGAAAATACAGCCTGCCTAGGAACCCCCTGCATTTTGATATTTGCATAAACCCTATCCCCACTGCCTGCATCAGGACTGACCCCTCCCACCAGCCATAATCTGCCTGCATTGCCTACAGAAGCACAGAGACCCAGTGATGATGGGACTAAAACAAGGTATGTAATGAAAACAGGTTTTATTTAAACATTTTCATTGTTATTGGGGGGGGGGGCAAAATATAACGTCAACTTTGGCGCGATTTTATTGAAGATAACTTCAGCTTCAGGCTCCGTTCACACCAATGCGTTTTTTTTTTTTTTTTTTTTTTTTTTTAGTGCTTTTTGCAAAAACGCACTACAGTCCATCTAACGCGGTTTCCATTGGA